TAATAGCAGAAATGAAAACTTTTATAGTAGAGTCAGAAGGCAGAACTGAAATTTCTTAGAAAGTAGAGCAAAAAAAAAAAAAAAGGAGATCTAAAAATAAGAAAATTGGAGAACCAGTCTAGGAGGTCCAGTATTCAAATAATCGGCAAAGTTAGAGAACAGAGAAAACGGAGGAGAGGAAGCAGTAACAAAACCATTTAAGCATTTTCTCAGGACTCCTGGGTATAAATTTGCAGTTTGAAAGGACCCATTGAATTTCCAGCACGCTTGATCAAAATACACCCACTAGCAAGGCACTATCATTTCTGGACACTGAGGGAGGAATTACAGGAAGAAAAAAATTCGAAATCCAAGAACCTGGAATTTGAACATCAGACTTCTTTTTTTAAATTTATTTTAAGTTTATTTATTTATTTTGAGAGAGAGAGGGAGAGAAAAAAATTCAAAATCAAAGAACGTGGAATTTGAACATCAGATTTCTTTTTTTTTAATTTTTAAAATTTATTTATTTAGAGAGCTAAACCAGGGAAGGGGAAGAGAGAGAAAGAGAGAGACAGAGAGAGAGAATCCCAAGCGGGTTCATTGCTGTCAGCACAGAGCCTGATGTGGGGCTTGAACCTACGAACTGCGAGATCATGACCTGAGCTGAAACCAAGAGTCAGATACGTAACTGACTGAGCCACCCAGGAGCCTCTTGAATGTCAGACTTCTAAATAGCAACACAGGAAGCTAAAAGTCAAGCATGAATTCTGAGAGAAAATTACACCTAGAATTTTTTCCCCAAACTACAAGTAGTCATTTTTAAATATCACAGTTATTGAAAATTATTTCCTAGGAAGCTACTAGAAGATGTGCTTCACCAAAATGGACTAAGCCGGGAAAACAGATTATGGCAAATGAGATGCCCAGAATGATTGTGAAGTGAGGGTGTAAGGGTAGAGGTTAAGAGTCCGGATGTGAGCAGATGAGAACGTTCTAGAGCTTTTCCCAGAAAGATGAAATGGATAGACTGCAGGATATGTCTTTTAACTTCTGGGGAGTCAGACAATTGGGAGGTAGTTTTGGATTGCGTACATAGAAAACTAAGGTGGGAAAAAACCAATGTAATTATTCACTCCACAGGAAAAAAAATTGTGCAGGAAAAAAATTGATACACTAATGCACATAATTCAGCTCTGAATAAGATTTACATTCTCACAGTAATAGAAATAATAGAATAGAAACTGATCCAGCCAAAATGTATAACCGTATTAGAAGGACGGAGTGAGGGAAAGGTGTGTATGCATGTGGGTGATGTGGGGGGGGGGCGTAGGGGTTGGATATCTCACAGGAGGAAGGAGGGTCGCATTTTCTTTCTTGGTGGGGAGAGTCAAACAGACAATACTAACAATCGAAAAGGAGTAATGCCATCACACTATAGCCGTGTGGTGTTAGTATAATAATCGGCTAAAAGAGTTGAGGAAGTTGGTGGCATAAGAGACAGGACTGATAGTTTTCATAAGAAACCTTTTAGAACTATTTAACTCTTTATGTGAATGTGTCATTTTGATACAAATTTTCAAAAATTAAAGTTGCCACTGTCATTTTGTTACACTTTTTGTGTATGTGTACACACACACACTTGCATTTTCTTGGAGAATTTGCTGTGGGCCAGATACTGCTCTGGACCTTGGGAACACAGCGCAGATGAGATCAAGTATAATTTCATCCCATGAAAACTTCTCTGACGTTCTGAAAAGTAAACTTTGAACACATGCGATGGAAAATAGTAGGCCATAGCGTGGTTCAATTTTCAGTTAGTGAGACAGACGTCTGTTAAATCAACTGAAATCCTCACTGGTAGCTCAGTTATGTACCCAGGACTCCCTGTTGTCACATTTTATCTGTTGTCCTGCTGGATTCTCACACAATGATATGAAGGTAGCTATTGTTATCTGAAGCCCAGAAAGGGCAAGTGGGTTGCCTGAAATCTCACAGCAAGTTGATGGCAGAGCTGGGATCTGAATCAGTCTCCCTGATTCCAAATCCATACCCCAGATTGTGATCAATTGAAATATTTTCCCAGATAACCTGGTATCTGCAGTGAACAAGATCAAGCATCTATCTTTGGAGGTTGGGGGGGCAGGGTTGGAGGGGAGCTAATACAAAGATCATTCTCAATGTGCTTTGTAGAGGAGAGAAAGCTCCGTAAACATGGGGTATCTTTAGTTGCTCCTTGAGGGAGATTTTAGGAGAGTGAGTGCCTAAATTCACCAGGAGGGTCCACACTCTGGTAGACTAGAATTCACTTGGCATCTATTGAGAACCATTTACGTCAGACCCTTAGAGCTTCAAAATGAATAAGACACCAATGAGCATGTGCTTCCATTGCCCTTTGGATATATGTTCAAGTGTTCAAATGCTTTGGGTTAAGATGTAAATTTGTATGATTGGGGAGACTGCATATTTACTTTATCTTTTTTAATTGATGTTTTGGACCATGGTAGTTTAATTTTAAGAATTGTTTCATATATTCTTAAAATGAAATTTCATTATTTTCATAAACTTGGAATATGTTTGTCTTGTGGACTAGCCTTTTCCAAACGTGTCCTATGCAGCCATTAAAATACCCACTAAGGTGTTTAAGTCACAAGCTGATTGTCTACAAATTTAGAGACTCCTGGACACAATTACCTCCTTTTGGAGATTTACAGTGCACATCAGTGTGTTAGAGACTTTGAGGTGGTTTTGTATAGAAGAACCATGTATTACTGCATTTAACCAGAGTTTCTACAGTTTTTTGGAACATGGATTCATTTTTCCAAGTAATTTTTAGTTATGTGGAACACATTTTAGGAAACAGGGGACTCTGGGTTATTTTACTTTGGCAGAAAATGTATACATCATGACCTTTAGGCTCCTTTCCGCTCCGAAATGCTGTGGCTTCAGAATTGCAGTCATCAGTTTCTTGTGTTACTTTGACTTACAATTTACTGAGTTATAATTATCACATATATACACAAAGTCCTATTTTACCTTTGAAGTTCTATCTGGGATCTTAAAGATTTGATTAGACTATCTTCTTTGAAATGTAGTTTGGAAAAATATACCCCAGCATTACAAATATTTCCTAATAAATTGTTCCAGAAATAGTATTTATATGTCTATATGCATACATGGACAGACACATGTATGTATGTATGTACAACACATCCATGCACACATCTCATATGTGGACATGTTTAAAGTGCTCTATTGTGTCATTCTTTATTAATGAAGAAAGTCACTTGTTTCCATTATTTTGCTGCAGTGAATATCCTTACACATAAAATCTTTGATTGAGTGGTTATATCTGTACAATAAGCTCCTAGGAATATAATTTCAGCTCAAAAAGTATATACATCTGGGGGCACGTGGGTGGCTCAGTTGGTTAAGCATCTGACTCTCGGTTTCGGCTCAGGTCATGATCTCATGGTTCATGAATTTGAGCCCCAGGTCTGGCTCTGCACTGATAGCATGGAGCCTTCCTAGGATTCTCTGTCTCCTTCTCTCTCTGCCCCGCCCCCTGCTCTCTCTCTCAAAAAGAAATAAACGTATGCTGATTCATAGGGGCACATGTACCCCAATGTTTATAGCAGCGCTTTCAACAATAGCCAAATCATGGAAAGAGCCTAAATGTCCATCAACTGATGAATGGATGAAGAAGATGTAGTTTATGTGTACAATGGAATCCTCCTTGGCAATGAGGAAGAATGAAATCTGGCCATTTGTAGCAACGTGGATGGAGCTGGAGAGTATTATGCTAAGTGAAATAAGTCAGGCAGAGAAAGACAGATATCGTGTTTTCACTCATGTGTGGAACTTGAGAAACTTAACAGAAGACCATGGGGGAAGGGAAGAGGAAAAAAGTAGTTACAAAGGGAGGGAGGCAAACCATAAAAGACTCTTAAATATGGAGAACAAACTGAGGGTGGATGGGGGCAGGGCAGGGGAAAGGGGAAAATGGGTGATGGGCATTGAGGGAGGGCACTTGCTGGGGTGAGCACTGGGTGTTGTATGGAAGCAATGAGTCATGGGAATCTACCCGTGAGCACACTGTGTATACTGTATGTTAGCCAACTTGACAATAAATTATATTTTAAAAAATAATAAACTTAAAAAAACTATATGCATCTGAATTTTAATAGGCATTTATTGTCCAAAATGCTGGACCTGTTAACCCACAGGAACTGTATAACAGTTGGCCACTCCCATCACTGGGAATGTGCGTCTATGTCACTGAAAAGAAAATCTTAGCTGAATGTTTTCCTAAATGGGAAATTCATTATCCCAAAAAGGACTATTGTTTCATGTATTATTTTATATTTATTATTTATCCATTTAATAGAATTGAGTCACAAAGTTACTTGGAGACTGGGAAGAAGTAGTCTTCGTGCTCAAGCAGTTACCGTCTGTGATTGTTATATAAGAAATTAATGACAATACCTTAAAGCTTAATTTTCTTATTAAGCATGATACATAAATTTGTTGTTTAGCAGGTCAAGCATTTATTTCGATTCAAAAGATTTATCTCTGGGACGCCTGAGTGTTTCAGTCGGTTAAGTGACCGACTTCGGCTCAGGTCGTGATTTCGCGGTTTGTGAGTTCGAGCCCCGCGTCGGGCTCTGTGCGCAGCTCAGAGCCTGGAACCTGCCTCTGATTCTGTGTCTCCCTCTCTCTCTGCCCCTCCGCTGCTCATGCTCTGCCTCTCTCTGTCTCTCAGTAACAAACATTAAAAAAAAAAACAACTTTATTTCTGTGCAATTTTGCATTCATCGGTCCTTTCACAGAAATAAAAGGATGGTAGACTTTATGGGAAAACCGCAGACACGACAGTCTTGAGCAGGAAGAGATCATTGAAATTTCCACGTTTTCTTGTGAAATCTTAGCGTGCACTGTCTCTTGTTGGACTGTGAAACAGACGTCTCAGTCTGCCGTGGAGGGATGTCAGTAACATAATTGATTCGTTCTTTTTGCCTCAGGGAGGAAGACAATGATCCTATAGTGCCCTTGGATGAGAAACGGAAACTTTTGAGCCGCACCTTCAGTTTATCCTCAAAGCCTGCGTTGTTTGTCTTCATCTAATCCAGCTTTGATGGACATCTGTGACAGTTGCCTATACACGTGCTCTAATGCAATATTAGAAATGGCTGTACATTCTGAAGAAACCCAGTGTTGTATCCCCACGTCACTGCTGCTAGTATTCATATTTTTGCACATACTGTTGATTGCTTATGTGTAGAAGAAATGAAACTAGTTTTCAGAGTTGTTATTAATATGAATATATATCATGTATTAATACCGAGACAGGAAAAATACATTCCCGGTGTTAGCAATCCTTCATTTCCTGTCTCCGAGAGAAAATTCCGTCATTCGGAGAATAATGCAATTCTTGATAATAAATAAGAGTTTTGATCAGGAACAGCACACGGCTTGAAAATGGAATGTGAAGGATTAGTAAAAGTCCTATCTCCTGTTGTTTTCAGCCCTCATAGCACAATTAATGTCAGGCTGGTTATTATGCAAAACAATTTGGGAGTTAATGCAAGAACAAAATTGCTTTATATATTTCTCAAAGGATCGAATTGAATGTATGAATCTAATTGTATTTATTTGACATATTAGAAGCTCTCGTTTCTAGGAGTTTGAGAAAGGCATGAAAATAGGGGAAAACGTAAGTGGGTACAACATACCAGGAATAGCTTTATTTTCCATGATAGAAGCGTAAATTTAATAGTATTCTATAGTAATTTAGTGTTGTACGTTTTGTAAGACCTTAAGGTATTTTATTCTATGGACTTTAGTATATTGAGCCATTGCTTTCCAAGATGATCAATAATGTCTTTATTTTAATTAATTTTAAGCGCTACTGGTAAATGTAAGCATATGCTTAGATGCAGTTAGATGTGACAGAATGAGATAATTTTGTAAAGCAGTAGAGTGCCTGGCACAAAGCAAGCACTTAATAAATGTTATCTGTTGTTACAATTACTGTTGTAAAACCGAAGACTTCATAATCCCAATTTGGAGGGATTTTGTGATGCCAAAAGTTGGAAATCCTACAGGTGCAATAAGTGTGCGTTGTGAGATTTTAGGTATGTTGGATAGAGGCCGTAGTACTGAAAACATTAAATACAAATAAAAATCACGCGGAGCATCCCTGAAAATGGCAGCAAAGAAGGACTGTGCTGGACCCGTGGGCAGGGAGAGGAAGGACTGGCATGGCAGCAGAGTGAGGAGAAGCCTTGGGCTTGCAAAGGGTCAGGGTCTGTCCTTAGACCAGAACCGCAGCAGGGCAGCTGCAGGCAGAGCCTCTGAGAAGTGGAGACAAGCCCTGGGAGTCTTCCTTTCTGTTGTTTCTTGTATGCAAAAATAATGAAGAAATGGTTGCAAAACTGTCCTGTACTTAAAGACTTAATATCTCCTAGACGCAAACCTGCCACACACACCGAACATTGGTTGTAGGTATATCCTCATTGTACTTGACATCCAGAGACGACATCTGAAGATTTCGTTTTCTTGTGGATTCAGAAGGCACCTTGGTGTTCTTTGGGTAGAGCCTGTGTTCAGGCCCTGGAACAAAACTGGGTGCAGGCACCCAGCCTCTTTGCTCCCGACACAGTTGGTGAGTGAACATCCAGGGTATGTTCTTGGACTTAACATCCAGTGCTCCTTGCAATCTCCAACCATCTCTCCCTGAAAAAAACAAAATAGACATAACAAAAAATAGTTCACATGTCCTTTAGGGTCATATCTAGTTGATTATATCTCCCCCTCCAATTTTTTTTTTTTTAATGGAAGCAACCAAATTTACTTACCATACATCTTTTGAGTCAAAAGACTGAAATGAACTACTTGATTCAGCTTGCGGGGTCCGTTGATGTGGTTGTGTGGGGGCTTTCTAATCTTTGATCTGGAAAACCCCTTCTTCTTTCCACATTTAGGTACCTCAGACTCAGAATATGAATGCTGGTGATAGGGATGCTTACGTAGGACTGAATTTCAAAGGGCCATTTGTACATCAACCAAAGTGCAAACGACTGACCTGCAGTCGATCCTGTTTGATGGTGTCCCGGGAAAGAAAAGTAAAAGATACGTAGTGGACCCTGAAATTGAGGAAGGAACTTCCCAAGGCAAAAGTGTGTGTGTGGAGGAGTGGTTAACAGGATAAATGACACATTTCATGGATCTTGAAATGTAATTTAGGGTGGGTTTGTTTATCTAACAGGAAAAAAAGGCAACAAACAGGTGCTTTTTTTCACCTATCTCACACATTCAAAAGTGCCTCTGGTTCATGGTAATTAATGTACCTGATGGTGTGTAAAGTAATATTATTCTCAGAAGGTTTGTCAATTAAGATAATTTGAGTCTGTGTTTGTTGGTCATTCAAGCTAGAGGCTTGCCAACATTGTTGCTCTTCTCAGAGAACATTTGATTTTGTTGGTTTTCTCTATGTTTCTATAACATATTTTGTGAAGTCCTCCATATTATTTCCTTCCTTCTGCTTGCTTTGGGTTTGGTTTGTGATTTTTCTAGTATCTTATGGTGGAAGATTAGTTATTGGTTTGAGAGGTTATTTTTAAAATAAAGCCATTTACATTTATAAAATTTTTCTAAGCATTGCTTTTTGCTGAATCTTACAAGTTGGTTTTTTTTTTTTTGCTGTATTTTTGCTTTCTTCTATTTCTAAGTATGTTCTAATTTGCCTTGTGATTTCTTCTTTGACTTGATGATTTAGGTGTGTGTTGGTTAATTCCCACATATTGATGAATTTCCAGACTTCTGTCACTGATTTTTAATTTCCCTCTATTGTGGTCAGAGAATTTACTCTGCATGTTTTCAATCCTTTTAAATCTGTTGAGGCTTGTTTTATAGCCTAGCACATGGTTTATCCTGGCGTGTTCTATGTGCACTTGAGAAGAATGTGTATTCTGCTCTTGTTGCTGTGTTCTATAGATGTCTGTTAGGTCTAGTTGGCTTATAGTGTTGTTTAAGTATTCTATTTTGTTGATCTTTCTATTTCTATTATTGAAAATAGGATATTGATGGCTCTTATTATTGACTTATCTATTTCTCTTTTCATTTCTGTCAGCTTTTTCTTTAGGTATTTTGGGCTCTATTGTTAGGTGCATATATATGCTTACAATCTTCATGTCTTTCTTGAGGAGTTATCCTTTTATTATTATCATTATTACTTTTAAATTTTATTTTAGAGAGAGATAGAGCATGAGTGGGGGGGGGGGCAGAGAGAGAGAGAGTGAGAGAATCCCAAGCAAGCCCTGTCCTGACAGCACAGATGTGGGGCTTGATCTCATGAATCATGAGATCATGATCTGAGCCAAAATCAAGAGTTGGATGCTCAACTGACTGAGCCACCCAGGTGCCCCTCCTTTTATTATCATAAAATGCCCTTCTTTATCTCTAGGAACACTTTTGCTTTAAAAAAGTACCTTTTAAGATATTAGTATAGCTATTGCAGCTTTCTTATAGTTGCTGTTTTCACGATCTGTATTTTCCATTCACTCTCAGTCTATTTGTAGTTTTGAATCTAAAGTGTGTCTCCTGTAGACAGCTTAAAGTTGGATCTTATTTTTTCATCCAGCCTGACAATGTCTCTGACTTTTGATTGCGTTGTTTAACCCATTCACATTTAGTGTTATTGTTGATATAGTTGGATTTATGCCTGCCATTTTACTTTTTGTTTTCTACATGTCTCATGTCTTTTTGGTTGTTGTTCTCTATCCCTCCTTTATTGCTTTCTCTTGCATTAGGTGAATGTTTTCCACTGTACTATTTCAATTGCTTTTATTTTTTCCTTTCACTTTCTTTGCACTTTATTATCTTAATGGCTGCCCTAGAGCTTACCATATTCATGTTAATTCAGTAGAATGTACTTCAGATTTATATTAACTTGATTACAGTGAGACCAGAAACACAACCTTTATATTTCTCTATTCTCTCTTCTTCTTTTTTTGCTATTATTGTTAATAATATTATTGTGCTATTCTGTGTATACACACACACACACACACACACACACATATATATATATAATGACAAACCCAACAATATATTGTTATACTCATTATTTTATATAATTGCCTATTAGAAGCTAAGCAAACAAAGGACAAGTAGATTTTCTTATTTATGCAATTTCTTTTATTAGCCTTCTTATTTACCGTTTCTGGTTCTTTGGTTCTTTGAATTTGGCCCTGTGGATTCACATTACCATCTGTATCATTTTCTTAGTCCATTTTCGTATTGTGTTATCACCTACCTCCTTTATGTTGTTATTGTCAAATGTGTTACATTTCTATACGTTCTAAGCCTAATAGTATAATTATATAATACTGTTTTATACAATTGCTTTTTAAATAAGAGAAGGAAGAAATATACACGTATACTGCCTTTTACGATTACATAATTACTTTTATCAGTGCTGTTTGGTTTCTGGTGTGAATTCAAATTACTGTCTAGGGTCACTTGGTTTCAGGCTGAAGAATTTCAGGTAAGGCAAGTCTACTAGCAACAAATTCTTTTGTTTATGTGGGAATGTCTTTATTTTACCTTTATTTTTGAAAGATAGTTTGATGTATATAAGATTCTTGATTGACAGGCTCTTTGGCCTCCATTGTTTCCATTGTTTCTCATGAGATGTCAGCTATTAAGCTTAATGGAGTTTCCTTCTGACAAGTCATTCGTATGTTGCTGCTATCAAATTATTGTCTTTTTTTCCCCTGCCCCTCCTGTTTACCTGCCCTTTCCCACCCATTATTCTTACTATGATGTGTCTAGATATAGATCTTTTGTGTTTATCCTCTTAGAGTTGGTTGTGCTTTGTAGATGTGTAGATTAATGTTTCATCAGTTTGGGTTGTTTTTGGTCATTGTTTCTTTTAAGTATTTTTTTTCTGTTTCTCTCTCTTCTCCCCTTCTGGTACGCCCATTGTGCATATGTTAGTGCACTTGATAGTGTCCCGTATTTCTCTGAGCCTTTACTCATTTTCTCCCCTTTCCACCCCC